CAAATGTGTAGAATGGGTAGTACATGATGTAAAAATAAAATATATGAACTCCGGAGAAGAATCAGCAATGGTGATGAAATAGCGTATGCAGCTCGGCGATCAGTTGGTGCGAACACTTAGCGTTATTCTAAAGATGTTTTATATTTAATATAAATTGTCCTACAAGTTAGTGTGTAGCTGAGTCTCCAGCCCTAGCTAGCCTGTTAACCATAATGCGAAGTGCGGAGCCCGTGTGCGTGTAGGAAGAGCAGGGCGTCGCTAAGGAGCCGCTGCCGACCACCCCTAACACAGAGGGCAGGCGCTCGTGCACGTGTAGGGAGAAGGCAGAGATAGGGCCGTCTTTGGGAACATCCGAGCATCAACATGACTATTCGGGGATTTATTGAGTCAAAAGCGTGTGTCATCTTTGAGATGGTATATGCGAAGAAAAAAGTCATTTGGAGAATAATTATGGAGAAAACAGCATGGAGAGACATCGGAGACGTATGAAGATTAAAGAATATTTAGAAGAATATTAAAGCATGACTTAGCTTGATCGACACTGAGTGGAGTAGAGGAGCCGATGAGTCATGATGTCTGAGTATATGGATGTGATTTGGATGGCTCGCTTGATAGCTCAGACGGTTCTCTTGGCAGCTCGAATGGCTCGCTTGACAGCTCGGACGGCTCGCTTGGCAGCTCGGTCGGCTCGCTTGACAGCTCGGACGATTCGCTTGGCAGCTCAGACGTCTCGCTTGACAGCTCGGACGAGTACGCAGAGTCGTAGGTGAACGGGCGTAGTCGGAGCCTGACAGAGTCAATCCGCGTGGGGAGGCGAAGCCCTTGGGCGTGTTCGATCGAGGTGAGGCACAGTCTGAGATCTTCTTGCTTTTGCTTATCGGGAAAGGTGGTAGTGCCAAGTAGCTTTGTCTCCAGCGGGCGATAAGGGCCGATGACTGTGTCATTGATGAGTCAAAACTAAGGTCTGCACCACCGACGGGATCAATAGAGCCGAGTGTCGCTGTGGATAGCGACGAGGTTGGATCCGTCGATGGGGGCATCAATGAGGATCGACGGGTGTCATCAGCGTGGGTCGATGTGAGATGACGATAGGCTGGTCAGCGCATGACACCGATGAGTCGATGCCGATGACAGCGGCACAATCGAGATCCTACCATTAATCATCATATAGATGTAGAGACATTCGGAGACGCATTATATGGAATATTTAATTAAAACAGGAAAGGTCATGACTTAGCTTTTGATGAAACTGCATGTTTCACCATCGAGTTGGAATCAGATCCTGGAAACACAAACGCGTACGCACATACCAAGCACGTACGTGCATGAGTACGAGGGAGTCTTGTTGTTCTGATTACTAGCTTGGATCCCACGGCTCCGTAGATCTAGATGAATATGTGCTTCTATATCTCTTCGATTACACCAGTTAGGTTGTACGGCCGATTAGCATCTTTGGTGGAAACACTGCTCCACATCGCTTTATCGTTGGCCGCCATTCTTGATTGCTGGTCGTCATGATCCACGACAACGATCTTGTTTATCCGATCGGGTTGCTGCCAACAGAAATCATGTAGACATATGGATATATCTGGGAGTGTAACAATATTTAATTAGGAAGCGACTTGACTTAGCTTTCTTAGATTGCTTCACTCCGCCTTACATGTATTCCCGATCTTGTCGTCGCATGTTGCGTCTGTTGGAGGCGCATGGCAAGGCGTCGAACTCCAGCATGCGCATCCATTCACCGAGGAAAGCAACCTGCTGCGGGCTAGCGTCGAGTTGTCGCCGAATGCCGAGGTGTCGGCGATGCCGGTTGAAGAAGAAATTTCCATCTAGTTCGCCATGGAATCAGCACGCACACCCCCTACCTGGCACGCCACTGTCGATGAAATACGTCCGGCAGTCTACCGAGGGGTATGCTCACAGTAGTAGATGAATCTGTGGAGGTGCACGTGAGGGAACCGGATGGTGACACAGAACGCAAGAGACAGCGATTAGACAGGTTCAGGTCGTCAGCTTGACGTAATACCCTACGTTCTGTGTCTTTGTGGATTATATTATGAGAGATGAGATGCCTTAGGCTAAGCCTAGGATCCGTATGGAAATATCGACTAGGGGACCCCTGCCCCTCCTTATAGGCTCTGGAGAGGTAGGGTTACAAGAAAAGTATCCTATTTGGTATTATATAATATCTAATAAATAATAACATCTTCTTGTACCCTTACGATGCACGTCGACCAATGTCGTGAGTCGTACGCCTTGATTTTGTGGGCTAGGCCACCTCTGATGGTGCAGCCTATGTCTTGTCCTGTGCGTACCGGGGGTCATACCCTCACAGGAATAAGTTGCCATGTTTCTCCATGTGGTTGGGCACAATCAGATATTTAGAGTTGTCCATCAGAGCTTTAGGAGATCTATAGAGACAGTTAGCAGACACTTCCATCAAGTTCTATATGCTGTTGGGGAACTAAGGGCTGAGATAATCAAACCACCAACTGGTTCAATTCATCCCAAAATCTTGGATAGTCACAGGTGGAACCCTTTTTTCAAGGTAACCATTGTTTACCTAGGTTACATTATCTTGGGTTTAGGGTCTTATTTACATAAGAGTTCTTATGGCTGCTTTCAACTCAACAATCAACTCAATCTCTACTTCTAAACCTTCTTCCTCTGCTATCAGTTACAAGACAGTGGTGATTTTTTTCCTTTGTGCTCTGGTGTGTGCGATGTGGATCAAGCTGAAGAAGTGCAATGGCTACACATTTAGTTAGTAATTGTAATCTCTAATTTATGATGCTGTAACGATATTGCTAAGTACCTGAACTCTGCTCTATTTAGCTTCATTGTCCATTCATAATTGTGCTGTGGTACCTGCTCTTATCATGTGTGCTTGCTATTCCATTGAAATGCATCTGGTGCTGACGGTTGCTGTCCAGGCAAACAAACACCGTCCCAACTAGACAGTTGGGAGGTAGTTGGGATTCTTGACAACCGGCCCAGACAAACAAACATAATCTCCCAGCAGCCAGGCCCAGATGGGAAGAGTGACCAAACAAGCTGCATTACAGCAGTTGGGCCTACATCCCTAGACCCTGGCTGGGCTGGTCCAGCCAGGCTCCCCGTGTCCAGGCAAACAAACACGTCCAAAGATCATGGAGATGCAAATGTGCATGTGTATATAGGTGGTGTTTAAATTCAGGGGCTAAAGTTTAGGGGTGTCACATCGGCTGTCACATGAGGGTGTTCGGATAGTAATAATAAAATAAATTACAAAAGTCCTCAGTAATCCACGAGATGAATTTATTAAGTCTAATTAATCCGTCATTAGCACATGTTTACTGTAGCACCACATTATCAAATCATGGACTAATTAGGCTTAAAAATCCGTCTCACAAATTAATCGCAATCTATGTAATTAGTTATTTTTTAATCTATATTTAATACTTTGTGTATATGTCTAAATAAACAGAGGGAGGGATAAAACCTATACGACAGATCGCATTATATCGGGAGATGCCACTCTGGTTCATAGCTGTACGTTTGTCTGTCTAAATCTGCAACGCCTGGATCCCCAGCTTAGCTGTACTCTTGAAGACTCCTGTCCTTGCTTTTTTTTTTGCATGCAAATCATTGTAGTAGATAGGAGTAGACAGTAGATTTGTGAGGGCATGGTCATCGTCCCAGCACAGACGGACTGCGATGCCAATTACTCTGCAGTCTGCACTTTTTGTTACTTGCTCGTCCTTCCTGCCTCGGCAGCTTGATGATGCCGTGATGCCGACTTGAGCTCGATGGGTCCCACGTATGTATATATCTATACATGGTGTGTGTGCAAGTGCAAGGGAAGGGATCGGACTTCCGTGAGCCCGTTGGTTCGTTTATACGATAGAGAAGTACTCTGGCTGGTTTATGTGAATAGTGCTTATGTGAGAGGGTTGGCCAGCTAGCCCCAGCCGAACGGGGCGCGTGTTTATATCATCACCTCAATACTGCACTTGCAATTACTGTTGTCTGTCTATGATAGAATAATGTTTATATCAATATTGCACAGCACAATTACTATTGTCTGCCTATGACAGAGGATAATGTTTTTTCCAGGCTACAACAAGCTTAATTAACCAGATAATTAGTGTCAGCAACATTCGTTCCTGGCATCACACAACTCATGCGGCTAACGACGTACAGCTTCTGAGGAAATCCTTATGCACATATGTCTTGACACCAAAATTATCCAAAATGCATAGAGGAGTCTGCCATCATATTTCTATCTTTGAAACGGTCAGAAAAAAATATTTGGATAATCATATTTAGAGCTCAAACAAAGAAAACAATTTTTCGAGGGGCTGACCTGGCCGAAACCGGCTTGGCCCAATTTCCAAAACCGGTCAGGTCGGATTTCATGATTTTCCAACTTCCTCATATGGAAGAGTGCACTGCACCATTGCATTTCTATCGTCGAGCTGATCAAAAAATATATTTTAATTGTCTCATTTGAACTCCGGATAAACTAATTACGATTTTCTGAAGGTTTACTGCCCTCGACCTCAGGAACCGGCCAGGCCGATTCTGGAAACAGGCCATGTGAGCAATGAGCATTGATGGTGTACTTGGATCATGAGTGTGTGATTTTTAGGATAATAATGCATTTTTCGCTTTATCTCCCTCTCCATGGTGAAATTGTTTATTGGGTGGATCTAGATGTATTATCCAACACTCCGATGTACAATTCAGCAATCAGCACAAACGATACGAAATTTCTCGAGGAATTCGATACATAAGTACTATAAGATAACTAAAAGTACATGAAGTGCTCAGGTAGTCTTCCCCGACGTAAAAACTAAATTTATAGATAATGAAGAATATTAACATATAACACATCAAAGCAGTAAATTTGAAAATATATTTTATAATATATAGTATCTAATTAGGCTCATTCCTTAGTTTGTTTTCAGGGTCAGCCTTGGGTGGAGCTGAGGCTACTGCTCTTAAGAATTGCAGCTATGCTGCAGACTTGGGTTATTCTGTGTCCCCAAGAGATCGAAGAGACAGGAGTTCTTGCTGCGGCTGAAGAAACTGAAAGACATTGGTACAAGTCCGACAAGAATATGTGGATGAGTAAAGTGCGTGACAAATGGGACACCCTCATGTTCCAGCAGGCGCATAACTGGGAGAATCAAGATCTACCAGAAGAAGTGATGATGAAGCTATCAGGCATTCCTATGGATGGCGCTGAAAGAAGTGAGAGATCATGGGCGTTGTGAAGAAGTGATGATGGCTGGGTCGGTTTTTTGTCCAAGAATGTTCTCGAAATTAGCTATCACTTCTACCCATGACTCTTTGAGTTTTTCGTTATAAAACTGTATGGACGGGTGTATCCCACCTGAATGCTGTAAAACTTTGATGGTGTCTTTGCTAATGTTAAGACGGGCATCGCCCTAGAATTCTAAAAATAAAAGAGTTCGTGAAAAAGTCACTAGACTCGTCATCTAAATTGAGTGGTGCCCATCGATCAATTATTTTCTTCTTAACTACTTTCTTTTGCGAAGGATTTTCTTTCGGGTTTCTACAGTACAACATTGAACAATAGTTTTGCTTTCGTATCTTGCTGCTGCGTTCACAGTTTTCGTTTGAGACGCCACAAGTGGAAGTTGGCAGGTCACCACTCGACCGTGTGCAAGTCTTTTATTAAAACTCATCAACCCTAATTGGGCATGCACTACCGGCGCCTAGATATTTTGCCCATCTCGCCCAAGTTCATTCATGCGATCGTGCTCCGTGTACGTTTCGGAAAGCTTTAGCGATGTCAACTTAAAAAAAAGAGAGTACAGTGCAGGGCGACCTGTGCGGCACTCGATCGCACCCAACTCTGCATTTCAGGAAAGAAAGCGTTTCAGAACTCTTGTTGCATGCCCATTAACGACATTTGACTTGGCTCTGCAGAGTGACTTACTCCAATAAACAACTATGATGACCTTCCGATCCGAGTCAATATAGTAGTGACTTATTTGTACTTAGGATTTTGACAATGCAAGATCCCGCACTTGCAATTGCATGCCCCACCCCCCCGTGTACTGCGGCTGCACAAAGTTAGGTGCTGCACAACACACAGACACACCAAAGAGTGGTGTGGCCTGACCTGACGAGGTGTGCCACTGGAAGAAGCTTCTTCAGTCAGTCAGTCACTGATGGCCCTGATGATGAGTTGCCTGCCTCTCTGCACTTCCGCGCACGTGTGAATCCGTGGGGGACTGGGGGTCCAGCACTTGGCTTCGTTCGTTCTCGCTGGTGGAGCGGCACGCACCAGTGAGGGCGCAGTGCATTTCACCGTGCGCGACGAAGAGGAAAAGGCGCCGACGACGGCGATCGAGCGGCAAGGCAAGCCGGCCGGGAGCCCTCCCGGACGCGCGGCGCGGGAAGGGCCGGGCGGTCGCGTCCCTCAGTCTCGTTGATCGGATCACTCCGAAAAAGCCATATGCAACGCCATGTGCCGGATCGGACTCGGCGGCCTCGACCTCTCGTCGATCCCACGGCCGGCTCCGCGCGAGCCATGTTGCTTGCTTGCATCTTGTGAATTGCGATTGGAAAGGGACGTGCGTGTACTGAGACCACGACGGCGCGGCAGTGGCGAACCGAAGACCTGCGCGCCTCGATCGATCCGGGCTAGGAAACCGTCCGGTACGGACGGCGAAACCACCTGCGCGATGCGCGCCCGGTGGGGCGGCGGGCTGGCGGGGACAGCGACGGCACATTGGCAGCCGGCTACCCCCGGCGGCCGTGTGGTTCCTACAGGGAGGATGCATGCGAACTAAAGTCGACACGAGCGCCAGGCAAGCGTGTGCGTGGGCGACACGAGCTCCATAGAGAACCAAACCACACCAACACTTATTCCATCCAAGTTTCAACTGAACCAACCAACCGCTAAGAGCCCATCTAATCACAAAGAAATCTGAACTCACTCTTAACCGTGAGTATGACTGATATATTAATTTTACACTTTTCATAAGCTGCACACTTTCATTTTTATCTCAAGTCGTGATTCCTATTTGTCAGAGTTAGCAAGGCTTATATAACATTTTTGAGATGTATGGCTGATTTTACCGCAGGATCTTTTCAAAGTTCCCTTCAAACTTATTTTTACACCTAGCACTAAGGTTTCAACCGCTGCCAGGGAGCAAAATCCACTTTAGAAACCCCCCCTCTCGTGCCACTTAAACCGACATGTATTCAACATTAAATGTATGTTGTATTTTTGCTGGTTTCATCTCATATTTTTATTCTAGAAAGTTTTAGAATGCAATTAGGCATCAATTATAATACTTTGAAAATTTTCCAAAATTTCTAGGTATTTCCCTTTCCCTAGAGATAAAATCAAACTTTCTGGAAGCTTCTAAAGATATTTTCACGAGTTCTAAATATTTTATTTTAGTTTGCTTATCCCAATCTATCTCTTGAATTATTCTGATTTTTTTATGAGTTTAGAGATATTTTTCGTGGTTCGACACTTTATTAGTTCTTGACTATATTTTTTTAATTTATAAAAGATTAAATCACCTTGAAAACTATTTTGGCCCGATAGGAAGGTAATTTAAACAATTTGAAGAGTTGAGAGATGAGATGAAAGGTTTTAAGGAAGATAATATAGTTCATGAAGGTAGAAAAATACCTTTCCTAATTCCGCCCAAAAAAAGCCCATGTGTTGATTGTTATGCCTAAAGCCCACGATGCGGTTTTTTGGGCCCAAAAGCGGCCACTTCGCAGCATATCAGAACCTAGTCAGTCAGCCCAAATGCCCAACGCACGAACTAATATAAGAAACCCTAGCGGAACCACTAACACACTCCTCCTTCGTCCTCCGCCGCCGCCGCCACCACCGCCGCGCGGCCGCCTGCGGCTCCGCTCCTCTGCACGGAAGGTATGGCAACAGTCGAAACCTTCTGCCTTCGTTCCTGCCTTAGACTAGCTCCTGCGCTCTCCTTATCTCTTGTTGTTGTCGCTAGAACCGTCCCTAATTCCATTCCCGTGATCTGGTGGTTTTGGTCATTAGATGGTTTCGTTTGTTGCACCTGTAGGTGAATCACTGTCCTGCAGGTAGATAAACATCGCGAGGTGTACATCCAGTTGAGTTTTGAGTTGGCTGTTTGTGTTTAGCTTTCCCTTCCTAGGGACGGATCGAAGCACAGTACGGAGGGTCTGAGACGCTATAGCTGTTTCAATCGCGTAGTTGTCTATTTTTTTTGTGCGTGCTATATGGATCAGAGAACCCTCTTTCCAGTAGAGATTTGTTCCTTGTTTCTGATGCCAGTAGTCGCATGCCAGTTTAACCTTTTGAGTTCTGAAAGTGTTTGGGAGACCCCCATTTGAATCGAAAGCACATGCACTCAGGTGCTATGGCCTTTGGCATTTCATAGTTACCTATTTCATTGATGTGCGAGATGCGCCAGGATAGCACCCTTGCGGCAGGAACTTACTTTTGGTTGCTTTTCTGCTGCCTGTCAAATCCTAATATTTGTGCGCCTGTAAATTTGCTTGGTTGTTTAATTGATTGCTATTGATTTGTCAGGTTTTGTACTTGCATAGTTACATTGTCATCTGGTTTCTATTGCACCTGTTGCTCAGTAGTTGTAGTCATTGTCTTGCTATCAGATAGAGATAGTCCTCGGGAGGTATATGTACAGTGAAGTTTTGCGCTGGCTATGTGTGTTGTGATTTAGGTTTCCTTTCCCTGGGACGGATCAGAGCAAATGTACTGTGGCGATATAGCTATTTCAATAGCGTAGCTGCCAAACTTTTTTGTGTGCTATATGAACCAGGGAACCCGCTTTGCAGCAGAGATTTGTTCCGTGTTTCTGCTGCCAGTAGTCACCCAACAGCTAAATCTTTTGAGTGTTACTTTGGCCTTATAGTTTGCCTATTTCATTGATGTGCGAGATGCACGATAGCACCCTTGCAGCAGGAACTTTGTTTTGGTTGTGTTTCTGCTGCCTGGTATTTGTGTGGCTGCAAACTTACCTGGTTGCTGCTGCCTGTCAAATCCTGGTATTTGTGTGGGAGCTAACTTGCCTTGTTACTGATTCCTTAGGTTTTGTACTTGCATAGTAGCACTGTATCATCAATCTGATTTTATTTCTTTGGTTCTTGTAAAATATGTAGTTGGTGAAGGTTTCTTGAAGCTGAGAAGATGGTGCTGAAGTAAGTTTCTACTTCTTTTATTGCAATATATGTTATTTTATCTGGTTAGTCAATGCCCTTCTTTTTGGGCATGGCTAGGATATTTTCTGTGATTGATTAATGACTGTCAAACTAATGCTATTAGTATAAGAGTTATGGATCTCGAAATTATTCTAAGTACGATCATCTCCTTGCAGGACGGAACTTTGCCGCTTCAGCGGTCAGAAGATTTATCCTGGGAAAGGCATCAGATTTATTCGTGCTGATTCTCAGGTTACTTGCTGTTACATTTTCATATGAGATATCTAAATGTTCATATGGAAAGAAATTACATTTGTTTTATAGGTGTTCCTTTTTGCCAACTCGAAATGCAAGCGCTACTTCCACAACCGCCTGAAGCCTGCAAAGCTTACCTGGACAGCAATGTACAGGAAGCAACACAAGAAGGTATGTTATATTACCCAGCCAACTTTCTTAAGAATGTCATTCGTTCGTTTCTCTTATGATGATTCCATGCTTTTTGGTTATAGATTAGCTACAGTATTCTCGTATTAGCTAAATACAAGTCTTATTAAACTAGGACCAGGATTCTAATAAACCTCAGCTCTGGACAATTTCTCACCATTCCGGATTATGATTGATATGTTAACTTCTGTATTTATATGAAGGGCTGATATATAACATTAACTAGCTAACCTTCAGGTGTTAATGTACATTTAATGTTAGCTAATATAGTTAGCTGTCTTCTGAATCATGTGATTGTTGCATCTTTTGTAATCTGCACTTCATCATTATCTTTTGCATCGATCTATTTGATGCATGGCATCTGACAAGATGTTTGCAAAAACGGTTGTTTCTGCCATGCTCATATAATGATGCTAGAAGTCTATAACTTGCATGTATTTGCCATTTTTCTCTGTAGGACATCCATGCTGAAGCGGTCAAGAAGAGGCGCCGCACCACCAAGAAGCCATACTCCAGGTCAATTGTGGGTGCTTCCTTGGAAGTGATCCAGAAGAAGAGAGCTGAGAAGCCGGAGGTCCGCGATGCTGCTAGAGAAGCTGCTCTTCGGTATGTTCACCAATTGTATGAT